TTTCCTCTGAGCAAAATATTTTAGCTGTAATACACTGACTTTAACATTTATTTTAACTGCTCATTTCTCTCACCCTTGTTTGAATAGTTGGGGATTGAGGACTAAAAGCCAGCTACTTGTTTCTTATATACGTTCTATATTGATGATATTTCCAGATGGCAATTTTTAGATAAGCAAGGCATTATTGATAATACTGTATTGTCTGAAACAGTGTTGATAATTGTTTAGGATTAATTATTGTTTCTTTTTTTTAACCTGGGTATTTTGTTATATAATTTAATTTAACACATTAACTGCCATGTGAGTTGTATTAAACTCACACTAGTTTTGAACCCCGGGGCGTTGTGAAGCTTATGTAACTCACATGTCTCTTTACCTTGGGAGCTGCATGGTGCGCAGGAAACTCATGCTGCCATGCTGTAGCATATGTGTTACGTGATGGGTGGCACCCTGGGCAAAACTCTGCAGTTGCTTCGTGAAATCTTATTCGTTGATGTTCTTATTGTTACAATTAATATTGACTATTTAATTGCATATAACTCACACACAGAAAACAATAATAAAAAATAACAAATTTTTCATTAAATTAGAAAGGATTGTTTTGTTTTCAAGGTTTTTATTCCATTTTCATAATAACACACCGTGGCCCCAAGGAAAAAAATTTTTTTCTAGTGTGGCAGTCGGTGTGTTAAGAACATAAACCAGATCACTGAGTCCTGTTATTCACTGATGTGAAGTGTCTCAATGGAGTGTAAAGTAGTAACTAGAGATAGTTACTGTTCATTTAATTAAATTCAGTATCTTCAACTTTACTTAATAAAAACCCTCTATACCCTTAAATATTTCACAATTGCTTTCTGACTGAAAAACATGATTTAGTCTATTTTATATATTTACTGAGAAATTGTCATCATACTCCAACGTAAGATGAGCAATCAAATTTAGTTAACACAGATAATGAATATATCATTACTCTCTCAGTCCCCAAAGATGAATGGTCACTTTTCATTCTAATGCATTTGAGCTGTAAGTGACAATGATATTCATTTCCTTGTGCTTTAAGCAGTCAAGTAGGACTACTTTATTATTTCTTAGATCTGTCTTCATTTTATTTCTTTATCCCAGGTTAAGAAATGATCTAAAGTGCTAAAAGTGTAGCTCGAGGAGGCACCTCAGTTTGTGATTGATCAAGCCCAGT